CAGCAGGAGAAATTACGGCTGCATTGGCTCCAAGATTTTTGTGGAACTCTGCGCTTTTATCAAAGACAACGCATTTTCCAATAACGAGTTTAGAATTGTTCTAAATTATGGGCAAAGGAAAACAAAATAAAAACAAAACCACAGCTTTAGCAAGGGGAATATAACTCTCGTTTCTGCTATTATTGCAACTCTTCTTTTTTTCCTCTTTATATTGTTGCTCTTTACAAAAGCAATGAAAGTTCTTCTCTTTTTGGTGTTTTAAAATGAAGTTTGTATTTGGATTGTTAGTCACCCCCATAAACCTCCAAACTATCACCACTGTTTTCTCCACCTACCCAGCACCACCAGATCCAAGTACATTGGTCCTCCCCTTCCCTTCCCCCACCCCAACATAGTCGCAGTGCTGAGAACATCTGGAATATTGATAACGATGGAAAATTCCCCATCATCAATGCTCTCAGTAAGCTTCGAGATCCCGTCATTCACGGTTCATTCTCCCATTCCCCTGCTTTCATTACTTCCATGGTGGATGACGGGTAGCTTAGCTGCAGGACCTTGAGTCATCCTCCAAACTTGTTCACTTCCCTCATCTCCCAAGATCTCCCACCTTCAAGAATGAGAACATTCCCTCCTTGTTCCAGCTCTGCAGAGAACCAAATGCTCAGAAGGATGCATGTCGCCAACGCTTCAGCTTGGAAATGTGATTTCAACACCTTTGGTGCTTTGTAGCGGACTATCCGCGCCACTTGAGGAAGGAAGTCAGATTGGTTCATAAAGCTCATTCGTTATGGAGACCTTGGCTTCTGAGCTCGAACAAGGCAGAGTCAGATTCATCTGGGCAGCAAAAACTGGAACTGCCAAAGAGAGAAAATTAAGACTTTCAGTGATTCATTAAATGTTTAAGAGTGCTCAATCTTAGTTATGTTATCCATGCACTAAAAACTGCTACAGGAAACAATAACGTCAGGCAACTGTTATTAAAAGAAGGCGAAGAAAAACAACCACAGTACTCCTTACCCAAGCCTCTTCTATAAAAATTAAAAACAGATGATAAACGATAGCAAATAGCTATGCCTATACGTCTAACTAAAGACACTAGGAATAAAATTTTCTCCGCAGCACTTAACACTTCAGACCTATATATATAGTTCAAGCATGGCATAGAATCTAAATGAAGGGGGGCACATACAGGCAGGAATAAAATCCCGGCGAGAGAAAAAGTAAAGAAACAAAACTACAGAAAAACTGCATTAAAATGTTGTTAATAATAACATGGTGGTAAGAACGGATTTCCCTAGGTAAATAATTTAAGTGCTGATCATACTTACTTTTGCACTTCAAAGTTGAATGAGAAGCTTGTTAATCTGCACAGAGTTACCTCGTCCATTCAACTTCTTTATCAGCCAACCAGAGGCTAGTTTTCAATGGTAACACGATAAAGAGTTGACTTTCTAGACTTTTATCAACTTAGCAAGAATCTCAAGCACTGAATTGACATCACCAATTCGCTGGGAGGCATTAAGCATCACCTCATAGTGTTGTTGATCAGGAGCAACGCCATCAGTTAAAATCATGTTAAAAGAATATTTCGCTTCAGTTACTAGATACCTTTTGCACAATCTATTTATCACAGAACTATAATCTCTTATTGATATTTCAAATCCTTTCACCACCATTCGTCGGAAGATCCCCATTGCCCTGCTCACGTCACCCTTTGCACAATGTGCTTTAATTATTGTGGTATAAGCAACTTTTGTCAGGTTCAGATGGTGTTCTTCAAGGAGAACTAGTAGATTGTCGGCAATCTTTAGGTCACCATATACACAAAGACCATTGATGAGAACATTGTATGTGACAGGAGTGGGCTCAAGATTATGGGATAACATGTCATTGAGTAACTGAAATGCTTTTGTAAAGTCCTTGGCTTTACAAAAGTAATTGATGATGGTATTATAAGTGATTTGATCGGGAACTAAACCCCTAGAATACATTGTCCCAACTCACTGTAAAGTCTCTTGCAGCTACCACTGTTTACAAAGTCCTTTGATGACAACAGTGTAAGTTACATGAGTTGGTGTTGCGCCTTCTGCTTCCATCTTGTGTAGCAATTCAAGCATGCCACCAATCTTTCCTTCTTCAGAATATTCAAAAGGTTGTGAGCCTCGGCAAGTTTTCCAATTTTACAGAATCCGTACATAAAAGTATTGAAAGTGACAATACTAGGAGTGGCCCCCTTTCAATCATTTGTCTGTATATCTGTACAGCCTCCGAAATCTTACCTATTTTCACATACCCATCGAACATTATTTCATACAAAATGGTATCACACATCAAGTCACCTGCTGTTAAGAGTATCAAAATATTTCCTTGCCTCGGACATATTCCCTTTCTCACGTAAGCCCAATCAGGAAAGATTCTCTTCAAGCACATTTTCTTGTATAGTTGACAATCCCTTTGAACATGACCTTGTCTGCAGAGGCCATTAATTCGGATAGAATATGTTATAAGATCTGGTTTCAATCCAAAGGCTTCCATAAAGCAATTTCAACCCGACTTCAACATGCCCACTCTTACACAAAGAGCTAAGCAATACACTATACACCAGGACACTCAACTGAAAACGCGGTGATAGCATCTCATCCCGCAGCTTAAGGGCTTTATCTATGTCCCCTGCGCAACAATGCCCACAAATCAGGCTTGTATATGTGACATGATCTGGATTAGACCCTTTAAGCAACATTTTCTGCATGACCATTCAAGCTCCACCCATGAAACCAAGTAGATGGAACCCTTATGCAAGAATGTTGCAAGTTACTACATCAGGCTCTAATCCATGCTTCTCCATGTCACCTGTGAACTCTAATGCTTCCTCCATCGAACCGGCTACACATAGCCCATGTATAATTATATTGTAACTGTAGGAATCAGGAAGTAGTCCACACTTGTACATCATACAAAAAAAGGACTTGGCAACATCCACATGACCCAATTTACAAAACCTCGACATAATCGTGTTGAACGACAGTGAAGAAGGTCCAGGCTCCTTCCCTGTAGTATTCCTCAGGAACGAAATTGCATCTTGTAACTTAGACTGCTTGCATAGACCATCTACAACTATGGAACTAGTGTATTCATTTTCAGTGAGTCCACTTAACTTAATTTCATCATATACATCCCACATAAAATCCGTGTGCCTCAAGTTGTACAGCAGACAGTTATAGCTCAACAACGAAACAGGCAAGTTCAAATCTTTCATCTTAGCAAGTACAAAGAGAGCATCATGAACCATCTCACATCTTGTTTACGCAAATGCTAACATATTCCATACCAAGGCATTTGCATTCCAGTTCCTAAATCTACTCAAGAGCAAATCACAAACAGATGGCGCAGACCCAGAGCCTGTAAGAAATCACAAGAATTCAACCAAGAAAAAAAAAAGAGAGTCTAAATGAGGAAACATAAAGCTTCATCCTTTGTATCTAACAATTGTTATGCAGTAGTGTAGAAACCAACATGTTTAAACAGCAGGAAAAGTGTGGAAATGTTAAACTACAAACTATTTGGGCTCTTTATGCAGGAATTGAAACTACATTGTCAACAACTAAGCAATAAAAAACAAAATCTAAAAACCAATTACCTGCCTCTTCAACCAGTTGCTTTATAACCAAACGAAATTCTTCGAACCAAGCTTTCGACGCCAAAATATGAGAGATGACGAGCCGGGAAAACCTAGAATGACGAAACGCATACACATTCCTCAAAGAAAAAAAGAAACCCAAAGCAAATTCCGGGTTTTCCATTCTCAAAGTATCGATAACTGAATCCACCTGATTTTGATTCAAAGTAGAGAAAATAGTTCTAAAGTAATCCCCTCCGAGAAAGCATTTCAAGCCCAAGCTCTTCAAACCTGATAGGATTTCAGAAACAGCGTCGGCTCTGGGATTCTGGACGACGATGGGAAGGTCGTTGTCGATCTTTGCGGCGGAGACGGAGGGCTTGCAGAAGATGAGGGAAGTTAGGGATGAGAGAATTCGGGATTTTTCTGTGTGAAGGAGAGGCTTTTGCCATCGGTGTATGTGATTGAGCATGGAAATTTGGGCAGGGCGGGTGAAGCGAAAACTGAAAAAAGAGAGAGAGAGAAAAAAAAAATGAAAGTGTTTGTTTCTCGGGAAAATGAAAGGGAGAAATGAAAATTGTGAGGTTGGAAAATTACAAGAAAGTGTTGGGATTGGTAAGCATGCCTAATTGAAGGGTTTATTGTCTTGAAGAAAGGTAGTTTAGGGTTTTAGAATGCCGTTGTTTCGCGGCAATTTTTTGCAGCTTTGGAAACAGAAACAGAAGTGGAGAGATAAAATAAAAATACAAAGAAATTAATAATAAAATTAAGGATACGAGATAAAAATATTATAATAAAAAAATTAAATTTAAATTTTTATAGGAGAAAATATTATAATAATAAAATTTTTGTGATTTGAATTTTGAAATTAACAAGAGCTAAATAAAACCTACTTGTTCTTAAGATGAGATGGTGGCAGTTTTTTTTTTTTAAGGAAACTATATTTCTTATGGTTTATTATTATTATTATTATTTTATATTGGACTGAAATGACGATTTTTTTTTAAGAGTGAAATTATTAATTTTTGTTCCTGTTTAGAAATTATTAGTATGAAGTGAATAAGTACGTTAAAAAAATTCTCCAGTTTTCACTTATTGATAATTTTATCATGATATGAAAAAAAAAATATCAATTTAAATAATTTTCAACTATCAAATAATATTAAGTTTTACTGTCAAATTCTATTAAATTTTCATCTTTTTTAATTCTATCGGTCATTTCAAAAAAAAAATTAAGCTAATTTAATTCGCTGATTTGAGTTTTTAATTCATGTTGAGATGTGACTTTATGTGATAGTTTTTTACTGTAGTAAAAAGTTAAATGTGATTGTTTCTAAAAGCTTTTTACTGTAGCAAAACTTGAATCGGTGAAATGAACGAGGCCTATGAGTATGTTTTTTCTAATTGAGACAGAATCCGTTCAAATATGATATTTGTGATATCCTTCCGTCTTCAACTCATTAAAAATATATTTATTTGACTATATTAGATCATCGTATTCTATAATAATACGTTAATGTAATGTTTGTTGGGATCATTGTATTGTATAAACTAATATAGATGTTAAATTAACACGGCCTACATCGTATCATTGAATATGACTCATTTTTTGCATGTTGTATTTTATTATTTTAGAACGGATCCATGATTCTATAATAATACGTTAATGTAATGTTTGTTGTGATCATTGTATTGTATAAACTAATACAGATGTTTAAATAATACGGTTTATATCGTATCATTGAATATGACTCAGTTTTGACGTGTTGTATTTTATTAGTTTATAACGGATCCATGATTCATGTTGAGGTTGGGCACGACTGAAGGTCGGGGTCGGCTCAACATAGAGTCATGCCGAAACCTATAATTTTTTAAAAATTAAGAGGGCATAATACAAATTTATATATTTTAAAAATTATATTTTGACCCCTTAACTTTTATAAAATTACATTTTGACCCAAAACTTTTGAAAATATATTTTGACTCCAAATTTTTTTTAAAATTGCATTTTGACTTAATTTTTAAAATTTTACATTTTGACCTCTATACAATACATCATGATACTAAATACCGTATTATATTATGATAATACAAAACAGTACATTACACTTTATACAATACAATACCATAAAAACTACTAAATATGACCTAAGAGTACTTTAACGAGTGAATGTAGAACAAATATTTGAGTGCTCGCTCAAGTTAACAGGGTTGCTACATCAATAATAGCACCTTTTTATTAGAGATATGAACACGCCCCCCATATTTAGAGTCTAACTGATGGAGAATCATTGATAAAAAATGGATCAATTGTTTGAATTTTTTCTGAGATTGAGAATAGATGGAATTTTGGTATCTAATTCCCATTTAAGTAATAAAGATTCCTAAGAGTCTCTAAATGGTTTATCATTGATAAAAAAATGGATCAATTGTTTGAACTTTTTCTGAGATTGAGAATAGATGGAATTTTGGTACCTAATTCTCATTTAAGTAATAAGGATTCCTAAGAGTCTCTAAATTATAAACCAATTAAAAATATATAGGTTCTAGGTTCTTTTTTTGGTTTTGGTTTTTTTTTTTTTAATAACGAATATTCTTTGAAGCTGTTGAATTTGGCCCAGAAAAAACCAGAAAATTCGTTAAAGAACAAGAGATATACAGGGTGAGCTAGAACATAAATTCTTTGTCTCCTCCCTCAATAAATTATATGGCATTAATAACATATATCAAAGATATATTTTCTTTAAAATAATCATATGCTACTTTATTTCCACCCCTTTTTTTTTCCTTTCAGGATCACCCATGAAAATTTTTGACGAAGAAGGATGGAATATCTTTTTCCTTATTGGCAAAAGGTATGCCTCATAACTTTTAGGGCCTAGGAGTAGGAGTTAAGAATGTTATGGACCCATTACACTTGTATTGAGAAAAACACCACAACTAAAAATATTATAACTAAAGAACAAAAAAAAAAAAAAAAAAAGTCCATTGGAGACTGTTAATAACCCTACAACTTAATAATATATGCACTAACTTCTACCTTCACATTTTTAAGCAACAAGGATTTGTTGTTGTTGTAACTTATCAATCTTTATGCAAGAAATTGAATCTCTTACTGGTTATTGGACATGGACACATAGCCTTATTTTATGAACAATAATTGAACAAAATAATCATGAAGTCTTTCAACCACTTAGCTCAAAGGCAGTCATGCATGACTTGCAGAAATTGGTGTCGTTACATATACATATATAATCTAAATAATATGACAAGCCTTGCAAAATATTATATATGATGTGTTTAAGGATAATAACAATTGATTTTAACATAATTTATTTGTATAATTATATGGACTTTGACAGTTTGGTTCTGCATAGTCATAGAAATTTGTCCTAATCTGCATGTTGACAAATAATTCACTATGTGCATACTTTATTGTTTACGTTTTGGATTAGATAGGTAATGATTAAATCTTTCTTTTTCCCCTTTCCTTTACAGTTTGTTTTTTCCTGTGAAAAGATAATTCAATAACTAGCTTTCAGGTGATATTCATCAAATTAAGAGGGCCCAATAGCCGAGTGGTTGAATTTGAATACAAAAGTGTTCCCAAGTCCTTGAACACTCTTTTATTTATGAACATTGCTTAAAAATTAAGCACCAAAATAATAGTAATTATCCATAATTAAGAAAGGTCACATTTCACCATCCAATTTTGGAGGCGCACTTCTCTGCCTCAAAACCATCTAAACCTTTATAAATCACACCTTTCTCTCTCTTCTTTTGCATGATTTTCTCATTACTCACAAGTCACAACCATGTTCAAGGCAAATGTGAGAAGACCGGTTCTAGAGAGAAACGGCAGTCTAAAAGAGAATGAGAAGAAGGATAAAACAAGCCCCGGATTGTTGTCCAAACACCTAAAGAGAATCTACCCAATTGGCCTTCAAAAAAGCAATTCCTCTCCTTCCCTCTCGTCGCTGTCATTGTCGTTGTCGGAGAACTCGAATGACTCATCTCTAGCGGATTTCGGTTCTCCTCTTGATCACAAGATTTCTTTGGCTCTTCGTCTCGTCGCGCCTCCTCGAAGAAAAGAGTCCCCTGCCCCTAAAAATGTTCAGCAGCAGCAGAGTCAGGATGCTAATAATCCTGAGGAGTTGAGGAGGTGCAATTGGATAACAAAGAACAGCGGTAAGTACTTTTAGTACTTTTGGTACTCTAGTAATTACTTTGTATCTAATAAAAATTCTCAAAGATGTTTTAGTTCTATTTCTGTCTTGTGCAAACCCAATACCATTTTGCTTACAAAAGTATGCAACAAAGACTAAAAAAATCCATTGCTGTATGGAAAGAAATTGTGTGGGTTGTGATTTGAAAAATGTGATAAGAGTTTGATGTTAAATGTTGCTTAGTTATCATATGAGTTATTTTAGGTCGTTTTTAAAATCCTTTTTTCTAGCTAATTCTGGAGTCTTGACCTTGTTTTTATCAGCTTTTGATATTTTTGAGCATTGTAAAATAAATCAATGGCGTTGGACTTTCATGTCACATATGCTGCTGAAATTTCAATGTAGGGAAGATCCTACGTCCATATCTTACGAAGGAATAGGCATTGAAACTTGAAAGACATTGTCATGGAAGTTGGGGTGTGGTAATCTAAAGAATAAAAACAACTTGTTTTATTTATTTATTTTTTCATAGAAAAACAACTTGTTTTATTTGGAGAAATCTTGAAAATTACATAAGAAGTACTTTTAATTCTCTGCATGCCCGCAAATATTAGTGGTCAAGAGTAAGGGTGGCAATTCGTGTTAATAGATCGTGTTCATGTCAACCCGTTTATTAATCGTGTCAGAAAATATTAACCCAAACACGACATGTTTATTAAACATGTTTAAAATGTCAACCCAAACACGACTCATTTATTAATCGTGTCAACACATATAACCCGTTTAAATTAATATATTAAATAAATAATTAATATAATAATGACTTATTTACCACGGTTAATACAAGTTTAATATGTTTATTGGTCAATTTATCTTTTCATTTAAGAAAAATAAATGAATTTTACTAACAAATATTAAAATTCACATTATTTGTATTTAATATGTCATATAAATTTTCATGTTATATCACATATCATTATATTACAGATGACGCATATAGTTAATCGTGTCAATTTATGTCACTTCGTGTTAGGAGGTCAACTCTAACCTAACTCATTTATTAATTGTGTTAATCGTGTCAACCCGATTATGACTCAAACTCATTTATAATAATCCTAAACCTACTAACTTTGTGCGGGTTTCGAATTGTGTCGTTATCCGGATTGTCAAAAAGAGTTCTATTAGATGAAATTAAGAACGGCCAAGTGCCAACCAACGTTGTCCACTAATTGTTGTGTATATGAAGTTGTTACAAATATCTACTACTATAATCAATGATTAAAATTATGAATATTTTAAGAAAGTCAATTATTAATGTTTTAGCACTTAGAGCATATATTAGACTGTGGACCTGCCAAATTTAGAGATTTAGTTGCAATTTTTTACTATCCAAAAGCGCTTATCAGCATCTCTACCCACTTCATTACATGCACCTCTCAAGTTATCTATATATATTTTGAAGTCCAATCCTATTGGATTATAATATATTTATATATAAACTAATGGTTAAAGATTATCATTAAAAAAAAAAAAAACTAACGATTAAAGGAATATATGTGTATAGATATTGGACACTAACAAAAAGGTTTAATACGTACAGATAAAGTTTACGTAGCATTTCATGACGAGTGCTGGGGAGTCCCAGTTTATGATGACAAGTAAGTCCTTTTACAATTTTTTATTGTGACGTAATCACTATAAGGATTTGTTTAGTATAAGAATTTAAATTAGTGTAATTCTAATTATAATTTTGGAATTATAATTATAATTTATGATTTTGAGTTCAACTAATAATTTTAAAATTATGATTTAGAATTAGATATTTGAATCACTTTGAATTAAGAGGAGGTGGTTTTATAATCATGAGTGATTTTAGTTTAAAACATCACATCGATTCTAAATCATAATTCAAAATCACTATAAACAAATATTAATTCTGAATTAATGTTTAGAATCATGATTCTAAATCTATCTATCAAAAATTCCTTAATTAATTAGACTGGTGCGCCAACTTTTTTTTTTTGCCTAGTAACGCGTGCTGACTTTTTAACGTTGTACTGATTAAGTACTATTCATGTACAGTCAATTGTTTGAGCTGCTTGCAATGTCTGGCATGTTGATGGACTACAATTGGACTGAAATTCTCAAAAGAAGGGAGCTATTCAGGTATGAAATAATACCTGCCATTCAATAACAACTTCATGATGTGGGATCTAATTTGTATTTCTGTGGAAGAATTTATTCCAAATCCTGTTACATACGCATGTAGTGTTTTATCTTTCACTGGGTGGGTGTTTTTTTAGGTGGTATACTTCTAATAATTATGTAATATAATTGTCTAGTTATAAAATTAAGAGTCACATGAATTTTTCATGATCGGTAAATTATTTACTAAACGTTTAATTTGAACAAATTACGCCTTGAATTTAACAAAGTTTTGCAAATGATCCCAAGTCGGTGATGTATATCGAAATTTGGATATAAATACACTCGTACACATTATGTGAACATGTGAACTGAATTGAAAGAAAGTATTGAAATTTCGGATTATACTGTGAACATATCATGTCACCTACATGGAGATTTTGAGCTCGTTTGGTTCATAGATTAGAACCATGATATTATAATTATTTTTAATTTACGTGTATTTTTTGTGAAAGAAAATACTGTGACGAATTATGAACTGTGATTTAAATCTGAGAACGAATCCTCCAACCAAACGGGCTCTTTATCTTTCAAATATTAGCATCATTCACCAGCATTTTGGGCCGCTCTACAAGTTCAGTCAAAGTTAGGGAAAGTTAAGCACACAAAAGGGCCAAAAACCCTATAAACAAATATTATGGGGATATTTTTATATCTACTTCACACATACATTAATTGTAGAGCTAAACACATTACGTTGATGACATGAATTGGTCACATACAGGGAAGCTTTTTCTGGATTTGATCCAAGCAAAGTTGCCAAAATGGGAGAAAAGGAGATCACAGAGATATCATCAAACAAAGCAATCATGTTGGCCGAGAGCAGGGTGAGATGCATAATTGACAACGCCAAATGCATACTAAAGGCAAGTCCTTCTTCAAAACTACTTTCACTAAATATGCAAAAGAGAAACCCATATACGCACGTGAAAACTATAAAGTTAAAAGGGCAAGTCCAGTTTTTATTATTATGGTTTTTTTTTTTTTTTTTTCAGGTTGTTAGGGAATTTGGGTCATTCAGCAACTACATGTGGAGCTACGTGGATCACAAACCTGTTATAAACAGATATAGATACCCAAGAAATGTTCCTCTGAGGAGCCCAAAAGCCGAGGCCATAAGCAAGGACTTGTTGAAACGTGGGTTTCGGTTTGTGGGGCCCGTGATTGTGCACTCCTTCATGCAAGCCGCTGGATTGACCATCGACCATCTTGTGAATTGCTATAGGCATTATGAGTGCGTCAGCCTCGCAGAAAGACCTTGGAGGCACATCTGATAATTGATATGATGATCAACATGATCATACATACATATTGAAGGATCTCTAACAAGAAAATCTTATTAATACTTCTTCCCTCTTAAGATTTATCAAAACCAAAGTCTTGAGATATCGATGGTGATGTACTTATCGCTATATGTATGTGGCAATAATCAGAGCTGTCACATGATAAAATGCATGTGATTATTTTTAAGTCTCATGTTATAATGTGATGGTTCTAATGTATTGCCACATATGTAGTGATTTGATGAGCACCGTGATATTCAGCATTTTTTCTTGTTAAAATAGTAATAATGGGATTCCATATTGGTTAAACTGCAGAGAAATATACAGTTCAGACGAAGATCGTGGATGAAACGTATATATGGACAAGTGTTTTGGATTTAATTGGATTTTGTTGTGCTAGTCTGCGGTTATACTTTCTTATTTATTTATATTTGGATAGTTGAGTGGATTTTGTATAATCATACAACACAATTATCTGTAACTATATGTCAGTGAATTATTATGAGCAAAAGCAAGTGCAAATGTATGATGATTTTTAATCATTGGTTTGGTAGAAAAGCAAGCTTTCTCTCTTTCTCTACGCTTATTTACAGAAGAAAACACGCCCAAAAATGCAGAAGATTCTAATAATTTTCTAAGTTCTTTGACTCAATCTTCAGAAATTATAATCATATATGATTATGAAACTAAGAATAAAGTAATTAACCAGTGGACATGGTTGTTAGTTTGTAAACATTAGTTGAAACAGAATTAGATTCGTTATTAGTGATCCATAATTAGCCAGGTCCCATTCTGCATGCACAATTGCACATTGAGGATGTAATCTCTAATTAATTACTTCCACGCTTATATCTTATGAACAATCTTCTATTTCTCCTCTATCAATTAGCATTTAAAGAAATTCCCAAGACTTCAAATTCCGGACACAATATTAGCTACGTTTAATGTAACAATGTCCTAGTCTTCTGTTTAAGCCACAAAAGAACAAAAACAAAAGAAAAAAAGAACCAAACATTAAGTATGCTATATATTTATTAATCTGCCAAGTGCCAAAATGAACCACAAGAAAATAAACCATTAAATGGACTTAAATTAAGATACAACTTATGACCAAATAGCAACCAAGACTTGCTCTTGCTTGATGTTTGATGTTCATGAGAATAACTAAACACCCCAAAATTTATTTCTTTTCTTTATTCTGATAAAATTAAGAGATGGTGCTTTCGATTGAGAGATTTATATGGAAATAAACGGCTTTAATTAATGGTGTAGTCCATTGTCTAGAATTGTGAATGAATCCCAATCCCATCGTTACTGTGGTCACTAGTTGCAGTTTGAAGTTCTATTTATTTGTTTTTTTTTTTTCTGTGTTGTTTGTGGGGAGAAATTCATTTTCCCTACTTTAAACCGTTAGTTTACTCAATACTTTAATTATGTATTCGTGTGGTTTTTTTTTTTTTTTTGTAATCTTGATAAATACTCCTTAAAAGTGCATGGATTAAGATTTTTATCATTTACTCTTGATTCATAACCAATGGTTCAAAATAGTATTTATCAAGAGTAAGGAATAAAGGTTAAGAGTAAGGGATAAAAGTCAGACTCATGCACTCTTAAAGATAAATTCTTCATTTTTTTTTCCGCATTGAACCATTGGTTTTAAAAAAAAAAAAAAATAGACCGGTGGTGTACTTTACAATTTACATCTGTGTTTACTCAAATTTTCTTAATTTTATTTTAAATTTTGTGGTTTAATTTGAAACAAACCGATGGCTTAACAAATAAATAAACTAGTGGTTCCAATAAAAAAAAAACAGAAATTGTAATAAATAGCAGATTTTTAAAATATTTTTTAAGTAAATAGCAAATTTTAGAATATTCAAAATAAATAGAAGTAAAAAGATTTTTTAACTCGTAAATTTTTTATTTATGACAGTAAAAAGATGTTTTAAACACGTAAATTTTTAATTAACTGTTATTTACTTCAAATAATTTTAAAATTTACTATTTACTTCAATTATTTACTGACTTCATTCTCCCAAATGAAAGAGAGTTCGAGTTGTTTAATCAGTTAGTAAACCTATAGTTTAATGTTATTATGAACTTTATAACTTATGTAATTGGTATGCATCGAAGAAATACTGTGACTAAACCTATCTAGACTTTCTTTTTCCCAATAAGAAGAAGTTGAGTCACCGATCAAAACAGTTTATGTCAGCACTCCTCACCCCTTACTGATCTCCGTGTTGATGTAAAATGTTTCCATCAAGAAGACATCTCTGTGATTTAAGCAAAACACATGAAGTGTAGGCGTGAAAAAGCCCTTTTCAATATACTTCATGGATGTTACCATTTTTCCATGGATTCTAAGTCCATATTTATCTAAGAAAATTGTTGAATTATTCTTATAGTGCACGGATTTAGATTTTTATTCTTTATTTAGAATAATATTATTTTAATTAATATATATATAGTTATTTAAATAAAAAAAGTTTCAAAATAAAGAGTAAAAATCTAAACTTATGCAGTCTAAAGATTTTTTGTCTCCTTTTCCGTCATGTCTCAACAATCAACATCGTTTTTCTCATGTTATCTCAGACTCCGTTTATTTTATTGATTCGAGTTTAGAATTTGAATTTTGTTATAGTAAAAAACTCTAAGAAATAGTTACATGTAACTATTTTGCTACAGTAAAAAAATTTCACATAAAATTATATCTCAATTTAAATTAAAAACTTAAATCAACAAACTAAACAGGCCCTCGACAATCAACATCGATTTTACAAGTCAGTTAAATGTGGGAAAACTCGTACAAATGACCCCTACGTAGTGATTTGGAAGTTCTGCCACAAATGGGTCCAAATTCACTATAAGGCCCAAAGCAGTCCAATTTGCACTTAAGCATGGGCCTAAATGTGCAACATCAAAGAACCTTTGTCTACAGTGTGGACTCTTGCCCAACATCATAATCTGCTTCTTCCTATTACAAGCTAAAATCTGAAACATTATACAAAACTACTTGACAGTTAATTTGACACTAAAATGAATACATTGAATCACAGATTGTAGGCATGCAGGAACAATCAGTCATACTCTTTTTGAAAACTCTAAAAAAAAAATCAGTGCCTAACAATTTTGAGAGTAAGAACAATTTGTTTTTTGTAAATAAATTTGGGACTTCACTAATAAGCTTGACTCTTCACAAATTAATGAGTGCAAGAATTTGTCTCATTTGTATACTATAGGACACGTTAGTTTACCCACCAAGTTATTCCCACGTTTGCATCTTTAGTCACGTTCTTGAAGGATTAAACAGTCATCTAAGCTATTATCTATTTTGCTATTAAAAAAATAGAATAATCGGTGTTATCCCTATACTCTTTGTATTCAACACGTTCTAGGACTACTAAACGAAAAGAATCTGATTCAACTAATGTTAATACGGATGGGTCATGAGTCCAACGCCAAGCACCCCATTGACGGGACAATATCTTTAACTTAGGGTCCGTTTAGTTCGTTGATTCGAGTTGAAATGTGATTTTATGTGAAAGATTTTTACTGTAGTAAAAAAGTTAAATGTGACTGTTTCTAAGAGTTTTTTACTGTAACAAAACTCAAATTTTAAACTCAAATCGATAAAATGATCGGGGTCTAAGACTATAGACGCATTTTGAACAGTAATATAAGAAAAATATCTTTACCGTTACATTTCATTAATGGAATCTAAGGAATAATTTTATTCACTTTTTTTTGGTTTTCCTGAACAAATCACATGCACATACACATGCTTTTAGCTTTATCACTACACTAAGTTGTAGATTAATGTTGGTAGGTGTGCCTTACCCTCATATCTCATTCCTATCCCTTTTCCTTCATTTTTGCTTTAAGTACATCTAAATCAACACAGTTTATCTCACCCTTCAAATGGTTCTACTGAGAGAAAAAATCTCTAGTTTCTGAATAGAGGTCTTATGGGGGTCACAATTGACTAATCTTTTTGTATTTAAAAAAAAAAAAAAAAAAAAACAAACTTTACAATCACTTTGCTTCAAAATGTTGTAATGCCAAGGACAAAACAGGCATGTGTGAAAAGACCCACTTGTTTTGTCCTTCTCTGTGACCCCTCTCTAAAGGCATCATTTTGCCTTGCATTGCAAACCACAGTAGGCATATTCCTAAAAAAAAAAAAAAAAAAAAAAAAAAAAAAAACCCCACTTCACAGTCAAGTGCCAATACAATACAAAACACCCTCAACCCTTTTGGGATTAGACTGCCACGTCTTGTGAAGCCACTGCTAGTACCAATAATAATATTCTTATTTTGTCCATTTTTTTATTTATCACATTACATTTATGAGATTTCAAGTCAAATTATAAATTGAATGACTTTCGGACCAAGACCACCACCAAACTTTCATGTCTATCTATCTTTCTGACATGGTATAATCGTCAGAATAAAGTTTGTTAAGCAAAGAAAACGAAATCCCACCACCGATAGTAACCTTACCACCCATCTTCAAGCAAGCTTTCTCATGGTACTACTAGAATTCCAACCTTTTAAGACATTCTCTTTTGTGTCTAACAAGATTGTGTGCTAATCCAACTCTTTGACTTCCACATTGTTTGAATGGCCTTTATTAACAGTAATTCCCCTAGATTGTGCTCAAATCTAATTTATGAACAAAATAAAAAATAAAAAGATGTCCTTTGTCCTATTCAGTCCTTTGTTACAGTAGACTTACTTTAACCTTTTTAATAGATTTTTGACTCCAATGAATAAAAGAGCTTTATCCCATTTCTTGCACAAGTAAAAATTTTCACATCATATTGCTGATTAAGAATAACTCAAACCTCAATATTCCAAAATACAGGAAAAAGCCAATAAATCTATTAATACCTTTTGGCAGTATTAACTTAAAGAAAGGAAAAGCAAAATAAGAGAAATATATTAAAAAATGTTTTAAAAAAATTAAAAAGGACGTGTAAGTGCATCGACCCTCCAATAAGTGGAAAGGCCAAAATTTCAAAACAGTTTGAGCCCAATGTTTCGTGGGACCTTATTCTCTGACATGTGATGTTTCTTTGTTGGCTGCTAATGTAAATCATGTATTATTTCTCTTGCAATTCCTATGTCAGCATCGACAAAATTTGTGTAATCTCTTCTACTGCATAGTTGCCTCAACAACCATGACATGTTGCCATGACATAAACGAGACCGGTCCTTTTCAGAACCAAGTATTTTTTTTTTAAAAAGCGAATAAATACATGTTACATATGGGCCCCACAATTTGAATAGCAAGTTGTAATTAGACAACAAATATATAATCTGTGGATGAGAGCCCATTGTTTGGTTAATAGCAGTAGTACACAAGGAAGAAAAAGCCATGACCTGCGCAGTACTCAGCAGTATTATCCATAAAGCTTTTGCTAGTTTCAAAACGACAGAGAAAAAGAAAAGAAAATCCCTGTTTTGTATATTTCACGTGACCTTAATATGTTTTTTTTTACTCTTTCTCATAGGCTCTCACACTGATAATATCAATTTTCAATTGTTAGATCCGATTAAAATCATATTAAATTAAATAAAGTGTATAAAATAAATAGTTTATGATATAAATTAACAGTTAAAAAGAAGAGAATTACCAATAATTCTTTTTTTCTGATCCCACTAAAAAAAACTCCTATGGCTTTTTTTTTTTTTTTTTTTTTTTTTTTTTTTTGGATTTTTTTTTTTTTTTTTTTTTTTCTCTCTTTTGAGATTATTGTTGTGATAAGGTGGCTTTAATCACATGACAGGGACTTGATAGAATACAAGAGTAAAAGATTCCTTCAATTATTAGGGAGGGAAGATGCATTACAAACCGTGTAGGAAATAGTATTGAGACAAATGTTCCAACAAAACAAAAGGCACATGAAAGTGATTAGCTGACTACTTGCTTTGCTAAACGTATATGGAAATTTTTATTCCTACATACAACAAAAGTTGTTCTCCAATTAAGTAGTGGTTGTAAGCAAAAGAAGTGTCTTTCATGTTCATTGCAAATCTTTTTATCCACCTTTTGTGATACCTTACATCTGAAATTTGCTAACCAGCTGTTCCTAAGTCACTAGATACCTAGATCAAACTAGCTTTGACGTTGTTTCTTCTTCACATCAAAGTGACGACTCCTGTCCTTTGCATTATCATTTTTAATCCTCCATGTATAAGACAGCTACATCTTAATCCGTACTTTTAAAAATCCTAATACAAGTCTCTAATTTGTGATATTGTCTCAAATTAGCAATACAAGTTGGAATCACTTGCCGATGTGCGGGCTTAATGGAGTTTAATTTTGTAATTTTACAAGTTATAACACACTCCAAAAAACCAATACATTTTTTTATCAAAATTTTAGCAGTTGAAAAGACGAGAGAACTAATTTGGTACATATGATTTAGCAATTCCGATACTCATTCAGAAACCTTTCATACGCGCATTCTGCTGCTAGATTAACGTAACATGCAATTGGATTAAGAAAACCATTCATCTTCTCCGTCAATTGGATTAAAAAAAAAAATCATTCATCTTTTTAGTCAGTAACTTTAGCACTGTGGCAACCATTTACGACGGCCAAATAGGAAACAACAATACTCGAAAAATGGTAAGTGGATACATGAAGAAACAAAGTTCACTATACATATACATATATATATATATAATATATTCTTTTTTTTTTCCAAAGCTCATTCTACAAATTATTTATCAAACAAAGTCCGCGAGGAGTGAAAGAAAAAAAGAAGTAAAAAATCAAAGCAAAACGTAAAAAGAAGAAATACATCAAATTCTACTCGGCTCATCACTCAGCTGATGCCAAGAATATTTACAGCATCCTCCTACAGTCAAACCCCCACTACTTCCAGGGAGAAGACGCATAAACCAAACCTACCTTATCAATCCTCAACCCCCAGAAACCTACTAATTATATTCATCGTCTTTAGTAGTCTCTGACTTACCACACATTGGCGCCTCAAACTCAAAACTGGCACGAAGTGCCGAGCCTCTGCCTCTGCCTCTGGCCTAGGATTGCAGACTTGCGTTTTGCGAATGCTGGGTAGAGCAAATCATGGAACTTCTCCAGGAAAAGTGTCCATTCATCCTCACTCAGGTCAGCCAGCTTCACAAAGCTCACGCTTGCTGGAAGCTGCTCATTCGCACTTCTGTGCCCAGCTGATGTGTTCAACATGTATCCATTTTCCGGTTTTGATCCCGTAAACTTGGGGAACTTCTGTTTCTTCTCACCTAAACTAGTGTCCTTCAGCGACATTGAAATGTTTGAAATGGTTGGCTTCTTCTCAGAAGCACGGAAATTTGCAAACACCTCTTTCTCTTCTTCATCATTTTCCTCTTCCTCTTCTCCTCTTTCTTCAAGCTTGGGCAGTTGAGGGCGACCGTGTCCACTCCCATTTCCAAAATGAAACGGTGTTCTGGTCACAAAGTCCTCTTCTGCTGACATTTTTGGTGTTTCATCCAACTCCCATTCCCCATAGTCTATGGGAAATTGGTACTCCTCGTGTTCGAGATCAGCCTTGGGGGACAATACTTCCCTCTCCTTTATCATCCTCCTCGCCTCCATACAAATAACCTCCAGTTCACTAGGTTCCTCTTCACCACTCCTGAATTCCCTACTCGTCATCTCACCTATCTCAGCAAGGCAGAGACCATAGGCAGCAGCTTCCTTCAGGAAAATGGTGCAGAGGACCAACACCCTGAGACAAGCCTCTCGAATCATGGGGAGCTCCCTTCGCAGCATCTCACAATCCTTAAGCGGGTCAAGCTTTTCTATGTACTCAAGCTCATCATCCGTAAATGGAATGGAAGCCTGAGGCCAATGAATCCACTCAAAGTATGGATCCTCCAAATTTTCAGGAAGGCAAAGACCATGATCAATTGGTATTAGCTCCACTTGACCAAACCGCCCAACACCATCAAGTTTCCTAACTAAAAGATTTCCTGCATGCCTGTCTGTGTTAAAAATCCTAATGTCTAATATCCCTATACGATGCACAGCAGAAACCGGAAAGCTTGAGGTCCCATGATCACTCGCGTCAAAATCATGCGGTATGAACTGTTGGAAAGACGCAATCTTGCTTACCAGCTTCTTCATGTGAGGCTTGTTCCCATTTACCCCATCATTCACATTAAAGATCGAATGAGTGATCTTCACCAGGGCAGTGGGGGGCACATTTGCAAAGTGGCCTTCATCGAGAAGGTAGGCTGCAACTTCTCTGAACCCTGTTTCCCCGACCCGAACAGAAGGTTTCAGACCCGGTTGCCCAAGAGCTTTGCCAACGAAGCCTTTTGGGTTATTTGGTGCAAAAGGTTCTTCATCTGTTGGCTTCACAATGGCAAGACTCTCACCTTTACAGTTCCTGAAATAATATGCACCTCCAAGGCCACCATGAACGGGAATCGGATCAACCCCCATCTTGATAGCCTTCACAATATCCTTGACCAACACCTTTGTTCTAGCAAAGTGATCCGATTGCCCCAACACTTCAATAGGACCACTCTTATCTCTATGCTGCAAATCCTTCCCAGTGGGCGAGAGACATGGAGTGGAAGAGCTTCTGTGCAGAAAGTTCCGAGTAAGAAGAAGAGGGGAGTCGTTGCGAACGGCACTAAGATCGTTCTTCAACACCATATCCCCAAATGTCAGCGAGCTCTCTTCAGTGGGTACATTAAGAGCAAGCTGCAATCTCCTCTTGACGGTATGAGCATTGTCCCCACGATCCAATTCCATCCCCAAGACGCATCCGGTCTCCGTCTGCACGAAAACCCGTCTCCTCCCAGCAGGCTGTTTCCCTTCCATTCTCTGGCTCCCATGGTACTCCGTCCCTAAAGGGCTCTTAAAAATTGCTAATGCCATCTGTGTCTGAACAGGGCTGTCCGACTCACGAGACATCAATCGAACAGATGGACGGAGGAGAGCTTCTTCCCTTCCGAGGAGACCCCAAACTCCAAAGCCACAGGTGACAGAATAAGTACTAAATCCAATCCCAAAAAAATCATTAATACAATAAAAACCAACTTTTAAGTTTTCCCCAAGCGTCCGATAACAATGAAAATACAGTATAGGAATAATCAGAAGGAAAAATCAGTGCAGCGTAAATGCTACATTGAATGAGCCATTACGAGATCAGCAAGAGAAGAGAACCTGCAATAATACACCCACAAAGGAAAAATAAAAAATAATGCACAGAAAATACAAAATAAAATCAAAATTAATTCCTTTAAACAATCTGATTTTACATCAGCCAAAAACTTCACTCATTCAATCTAAATCCACAAACATAATCAATTTTGAAGGATAATAATGACATCAATCACCTAAAAATCCCTCAAAATAAGTCTGGATTATTATAACTCTAAAAGGGACTAAATCACAATAAACAGTCCACTTTGTGCTCAAAAGAATTCCGCAAATCTCTAAGCGGATAATATTTATATACAGATTCACCCGTAAAGTCCAAGCAGTCAAAATTAATTATTTACAACACCATTTCCAATAGCAAACATTTACACAACATACTCCCAAGTTTTCCCTAAGCATTTTCCTCCGCGCCAAACGGGGGAAAACAAAGAATCAAGATCACAAAAATCACCAAAGGAATAAAACAAACATAGAAATGAGATAATAAATCCCAATCCAAGCATATTCATTCCAGTGTTACTGAACAACAAATCTCGGCCATTTCTGAGCTCAAAAAGAGCCCAGACCAGAAAATTTTGGAAGCAGGGACTCACCAGAATACAAGATCTGGAAGAACCACGCCACACGGCCGCCAAAAACGATGAAAATTATCCAACGGCCGAGTCGGAGATTCAGAGGAGGAATCGACGGAGTCGACTCGGATAAATATTCTTGGTCCGACTCCAAGCCACAAAACCCTTTGTGTGTGTGTGTGTGTCTCTCTCTCTCTCTCTCTCTCTAATTCCTCGCTTTGGTTTCTCTCTCTTCCTGAAACTCTTTATATTTTAACTCGACGCGGAAAGCCTAATTGAGAGAGGAAATTTAACCCTGGTTAAGAAGGAGGTGACCACTAACCACTCTCTCTCCTCTCTCTCTCTTCTTTTCTTTCTCTCTCTGGTTTGCGATTCGAAGCCTCTAGAACACGTAATCAGAACCGCTGGATCTACGGAACGGTGGGGGAATCGGGGCCGTTGGATGAGGTGAGCCTCGGGGGTTGTGTGTCGTGGGGAGTGATGATGACGTGGAGATAAGGGACTGGGTGATGACGTAGCAGTGGTCGCCTATAGAGGAGGAGGGGAGTACAGTAGAGACTTTCAAGAGCATTTAAGAGTCAGTGATCTGGTGTTAATAATGTTTTTTAATTTTAATTATTATCTAATTATTTTGTATAATTATATTATATAGTTCTGTGCCCGATCAGATCGTCTAATTTTTCGAGCACGCACTCAACAGTCTCCCACGAAATCAGGCTTACTTGATTCTTCTTCCGAAATATCGAAACTACCCCTAATTTCATGTAAGAATGAAGACCAAATAGTGAACATCAATCGAAATTAATTTCCCATGGAGTCCTTTTTAGACAATTCACTATCATTATTCATTGCATTGCCACTTAAATATCCTCTTTTTTTTTAATTTTCACTTTAATTAAGGAAAGTTTTATGGTCGGTGCTACTATTTTATCTAATAGGAGTTGTTATTTTAGTTGGATTAATTTTTTATGTCACATTTAGTCTATGGGTTCAGAAATATAGTTCGTGATTCTGATTTTTAAAATTTAAATTTTTTATAAGAAAAAAATATTGGAGTGAACTAAAAATCATGATTCAGAGTCAGGTCATAACTCTCGAAACAAACCGAGCATTAGTGATTTGAGTGATAGATGAGTATGACCAATTTTGTATTTGTAAATTTTTATTATTTATATATACTCACAAATTAAATTGTTAAAAAATTAATACAATAGTTAAAATAGTAATTCTTAACATTAGGATAAAATAGTAATTTTACCGTAAGTGCCCTCTTTGTTAGGGAAAAAAGAAACTGAGTGATTATTTTTCTCTTGTAATATACAATTTTTGTTGTGCAATTCACAAAAAAACTGGAAAATCGTCTCTAAATTATATAAAATTGTATTTTGTATGTACGAACATTGAAACTATCTAGTAACCCATTTGTTTTGCATATTTAAACCACCCTTTTTTTTTGTGTGTAATGTCTGTTATTGTTAAAGTAATTCCAATTATAAAAATTTTCTTACAAATTGTGCAATTTGAGAGGACTGTTTAATAATATTTACTAAAAAAAAAACACTTATCAACAGTGGCTAAACAATTTGATTTTCTTCCCATTTCGATAGTCACATTCACATTCTATGGTTACTACAATATATTACCAAAAAAAAACAAAAGAAAGCTCCCCAAGTATTTGGCTTTAATCTTACGGCCGAGTAGATTTACCGTATGGTAATGGAAAGGGGGGGGGGGGGAAAAAAAAAAAAAAAAAAAAAAAAAAAAAAAAGGTAAACGGCGGACCCTATCACGTCGTATAACCATAGTGGGGCCCTGCCGTACTACGCACCCTTCACTCAACGCGGACAAAATCGTTCGGTTTAGGACCAGTGGGAAATTCAATTCAACCGGAGTTGGGTTTTTTCGGAAGGTTCGGAACCAGGTGATTATTAATGATAGGGTAGTCTCTAATTTGTGCCTCTTTTTTTCTCTTTTCAAGATCGGGTAAAAATGAAAGGAGGGGAAGGGAAATCCAGCGGTCCAAGATTTGTCATGAAAATGGAAATGCAATCAGGCAGATCACATGGATTGGGTCCCATTTAATAGGCTTCCTTTGTTAGTTGCAGATACCTATCTTGTTACATAATGACAAATTGACTGTCCTCCTAAAAATTGGTTGTAGTGTAGTGACAGTTTTATCCTCTAGCATTTCTGAATCCGACTCAATTAGGGTCTGATTGTTTTCGTTTTTGTTACCATTTTTCACGATTTTTGAGAATAAAAAATAAAAATGCGTAGAGAAAACACGTTTAGTGTAAAAAATTTTAAAAATTAAAAATAAAAACATTTTTGTCCTTTTTTGAAAATGATTTATTCTTATTTTCATTTTTTTCTCTATTTTCCTTTTCTTTCTTCAACCCAGACTAGAGACCCCCATTTTCATTCCCCAACATTTCCTAACTAACATATATAATGTTATATTAATATATTTATTTAATATATTATTATTTTAAATATTATTACATGTTCTTAAAAATTAAACCACCAAACACAATTTTAATTTTTTTCAAATTGAAAACAATCTCAGAATAAAACTACCAAACGTATTTTTAAAAATGATTCCAAAATGAAAATGAAAATGTTTTCGTTTTCATTTTCATTTTCATACAGAAAATAAATTCATTTTTAAACGAATTCCAAATGCAACCAATATATGTACATATATATTTTAAATGGTAAAATTCCACTCCAAATCAAGGAAATGCTCACTCTAATATAGAAAAGAATGACCTCATTACACAAGAACACTAATCCTTATCTTGATCACAAACCGATTTCACCAACTAATGAATATGTGAGAGCTTTTTACTGTAGTAAAAAAGTTAGATGTGACTATTTCTGAGAACTTTTTACTATACCAAAATTTAAATTTTAAACTCAAATCGGTAAAATGAACGGGATCTTAAAACGCACATAAAGATAAAACATGTGTTGAGTTCCCATTAAATTTTAAACTCAATTAGAATTGTTAGACTTTAATTATAGATATGATTGTAATCACTATATTCATAAATCCCAAGAATCATCATGCTAAATTACCCATAAAAATTAAGGAAGCGTACATGAATCTATAATAGCAACAATTGACACTTTTGCGGAATTACTATGACGACGATTGGCGAACTGATTATTGTCTTCCTAAGTCAAATCACTAGAGTTTTTTAATGGGGTGTTTCTTTCTAAATGGGGAAGAAGAGAAAACAGTTGAATGATTTGATGCATTGAGAACCATAACCTATAAGTCCTCAAATATTTATCTCATTAAGCTCTCATTAAACCTTATTAGATAAGTATTGGGTATCCACTCAATTAGAAGTCTTATTAGGCTCCCCTAATTAAACCACTTAATAAAGCCCATTTAATTAAATAGCCTGATAATATAAGAAAACATAGAGAAATTATACTTTAGAGTGCATGAGTCTTGACTTTTATCCCTTAATCTTGATAAATATTATTTTGTTAGTGTAATTATTTGACTAAAAAAGTTATGAATCAAGAGTAAAATGTAAAAATCCCGACTCACATACTTTTAAAGAGTATTTATCAAAATTGCTCTTTATATAATTGTTTTATTTATATGTGGCCCACATTAATATTAAGAAATTAACTTGAATTTCCTAACAAGAATATTATATAAGCTAATATTACATCTTTCTTTATTCATATCGACACTTTTAAATTTTAATCATTGTGTAGAATATAATGCTCTGCTGTAAAGCAAGTTACATATTTAATTTAATCAACCAAAAGTATCGCTGAAAAAAAAATGGTGTAAACTTAAATCAATTATAGATGAGGGTCCCATTTCATAATGAATATCGGTGGACTGCTTGAATAACTTTCATCTATTTTATTGGGATATGAGAAAATGGCCATTCAACGATTTAAGCAAGGTACTTCATGGATGTTTGCTCAATCCGAATAATGTAATGTCGCACGCAATTATTTCAGCTGCGTCTTGGATAAGAACATGATAATGTCATCCAACTTGCAACAATTGCAACTTTAAAGGTTTTGGTCTTTCAATGCTTGGCTATTTATTATTAAATTTCAGAAATAAAGAAATTGTCTTTCGTTGCAATTTTCAGGGTATGACCAATATTTTTCCATCTCTTAGTTCATTTTGCCCAATCAAGGTAAATTATGGTTAGACTTTGTCACTTATAACAAAAAGGGAAATGGAATATTTAACATTGGTAATCTTGGTATATGGTTGATTTTTTTTTTTTTTTTTTAACCACAACGCTCTTCTTGTTCTCAAAACAGGGAAAATGATTACCAATAAATTTGGGAACATTTTATCGTGATGTTGCTAATTTTCCCTTTCATGGTCTTTTTCAAATTGCATTCTTTTTTTTTTCATGCTTTAATGCACGCATGCTATGGATTAGGAAAAGATAATGTGCATAGTCTTCCCGGTGGTTTACATGCATTAATTGGAATTCAATGAAATTGTTGCGTTTAATCAATTATTGAGGTCCTTTTTGGACAGTTTACTTTTTGCTTGTTCTTTTTATGGAAAATAAACAGATTATCCTCGTCACGAACTTTCTTATTTGACAGGAATGCGTTTATTGTGCACTAGCACACAATATTTTCCGTTGTTTCTTACTGACGTTATAATATGCCTTCCAAGTCCCGACATTTTAAACACTAGTCAATACAAGAGCGAAATGGGCGTGCATTTTTCTAAAATAGTAGTTACGTAAATTGTTGAAAAAATAAATAAATGAAGAAAGCAACGAAGAAAAAAAAAAACAAAAGATAGCACAAAAAGGATTTAGGAAAAGATTAGCAAAAAAATGATTTGGAAAAAAAAAAAACTCAGAAAACCAAAAAAAAAAAAAGAAAAAAAATCAGGGAAAAAAAATATAAGCGAAATGTTTCGAACTTTTTATCTCACACCCCAAACGTTTCGCCAAAAAAAAAAAAAAAAAATGCATGCGTGTCGCACATAGAAGGAGATCGGATTCTCCTTTTTATTTACGGTATAGAATATAGATATAGATGGATTAATTAAAAAAAAAAACCTATTCCCAAACAATTTCAAGGTTGACGTTAATTTTTTTTCCTTTTTTTTTAATTAAAGTTGTTCTTTAATGAAAGAGTGTTTATTAATCTTCTTATATAGAAAAGCGGAAAAAAAAATGAGTCGCTAGTATTAG